CTTGGTCACAATTAAACATAAAAAAATCCAAGGTATCCATATCTAGATTGTTTATGTTATGTGTTTATATATATATTTTTCTATGAATCAATATATACATTTTTTTAAACCCCTGAATATCAATACCAGTGTGAGCCTCAAATAATCCAGTATTGGTTGGACTATTGCTTTTAATCTGCAGTTACCAATAGCAACCATGCCACTGTTTTTGCTGAAGGATTGTAGGTGTGGCATAACAAAATATTCACCTCAATGAATCGAGACACCAAATTAAATATGACCACTGAATCTCAGGAGCTCATTTGTCACAGCTGAATGACACGGGGAGTGCACGGGGGGTTATTATTACCAGCTAATTTAATACATAACCGCAAGTGCAAACACCATGAAACTTCACAAAAGGCTACACTAATTATCTCCAGTTTGTGTCAACTCTGCCACTTGTGACCTCACCACCCTTTAAAAGTTAGATGAAGGCACAGCTCAAATTAATGAGAAATTCTATTGATTGAATATTTTCAAGCTGTTTGGAAAGTGCTCAAACTCATTGACTGACCCCTTTGTTATAGCAGAAAAAACCTTTTTACGCCCCCCCCTCACTTTCTTTTCAAGGCAGTGGTTTTCCATCCTGTAATTTCACAACCCTGCTGGTTTTTGTTCCAGCCATCTAATGAGGGGCTAATTGACACCTGTGTTGCCAGGTGAATGCAATTACCTGCAATTAACCACCTGGTAAGATAGAAAACCAGCAGCACTGTGGGTCCTGAGGACACGATTGAGAACCACTGTATTAAAGAAACAAATCACTGTGTTAATTAACACAATGCAAACTGTGTTAATTAATTCATTTCTCAATTAGCAAAGGGAAGAGGAAAAGGGCAAAGTCGTTTGTAGCAATGATTAAAAGAGAAAAAGTCAGATTCTGAAAGTCACAAAATGACCACACACCTAAGGAAAGCGCATAGTATAGAAATTATAAATGGCTTAAAGGAATAGTTTGACATTTTGGGAATACACTTATTCACTTTTTTGCCAATAAAGAGTTAGATGAGAAGATCAACATCAGTCTGAAGCTAAAGCCAGGAGTCGACTAGTTTAACTAGCTTAACTAAGAACTGTTAGCGTCATGGTCCCTTAAAAACACAACATGTTGTCTTCACACTTTGGTTTTTGTATGAATTAAACAAATTATTTGGAATTAGTTATTTAGTGAGCTTTATAGGGGCTGGAAGGTAGATTTTATTATTATTATCTTCGCACAGATCGAGCCAGATCGAGCCAGACTAGCATTTCCCCCTGCTTCTTTGCGCTAATAAGCTAACGTCTCCCGGCTTTAGTTTAATATTTAATGGACAGGCATGAGAGTGGTTTTGATCTTTTCATCTAACTCTTGACAAAAATCCAAACAATTCCTTTGACAGGTACTAAAATTTCATGCTTACAAAATTTCATACTTTTCTAGGCCTACTGTTCAAAGCAAGATGCATGATAGGAAAGTTACTCAAAGGACCAGAAAGCCCCCTCAGCTCCTTGGATCTCGTTGACAGTTGAAAGTCAAATAAAAAAAAAAAGATAACTAACTAGGTGTTAGTCTGAGATATGGCTTACAGCTGATCAATAAAACGTTAAAATCAATCCTACTGTGTACAGGGAAGCAGCAACGGTAAGTTAACATGTGGGTAATATGCTGTTTCTTCCTAGTTGGCTGTCAGGAGTCAGCTGGTACTGGCACTGCAGGTGCACAGGGAGTTTGGATCAATACTGAAAACACCACGATGTGTGCTGTACGCTGCATGATTGGGTTCTTTGTTCATGTGCAGATAGAGCCTCGTGGGTCCTTCTATATACATGTGAAGTATATGTTTCTGAGCTTTAAATGTAATCCAAGCATTCGCAAATACGAGGCCACAAAGTACGCTAATTGCCTCTCTCATTACCCTCTTCATTCATTTAATCTGGGTTAACAAATCCAGCCATTGATCCTGACGCTGGTGGGAGAGAAATGAGCACCCGAACGGACCCTGGGGAAATTGATCAGCCATCTACAGAATGGTAAGCTGATAAAACATTGAGCTTCACAAATGGCCAGGGCTTAGATCCTTTAGCTGTAAGGGTATTACACAATGTAATGTCCTAATTATAGCTACTGGCAACATGCACCCTATGTAATACACGTTTCTTTGATGTAACGTGTGTACTTTCCTTCCTGATATGCATTGTTTCTGTACATTACCACTGACACACTACAGCGATTCAGTTTGTGATTGCCTTTCAATTCATAGCAACACAATAAAGTTCCTTCTAGATGTTTTATGCTTTCGCTGATTGTCTCAAATTCCCTCTTCACCTCTGCACACGCAATACAGCTTGTGTTGCTGCCTTGGTTAATTTCTTCTCCTGTGAATTGTGAGCTGCCACCATCAAAGGCCCCCAGATAGGAAATACCCAGACAGACAGACAACACAGCGGTGTAATCCTCACAACACTGAGCCCCTAAATCACTGCCTTTTAAGATGAAAGCCTGTAGGATGTAGACTTACGGCTGTAAACAAATCCATCCCTGTACTGCCTACTGGCCTTACAAACACCAGTTTAAAGTTAAATGGGGTTGCAGCTCCCTCCAGTGTAAAGTGATGGACAGCAGTGAAATGATTACCTATTGAACTTGCCCGGAGCCACACAGCATCAACAGAGATGCCCAGTAGTGCCCTAAAACAAGTCAGCTGGATAAATATTCCACAGTAATAACATTTTATATTTTGTCTCTTTGTGCTTTTCTGGTCAATTCAGGTCAGAGTTATTGCACTTAAACAAATTGCTTTAGAAATATTTGTTTTTCTTTTGGAAGACTATTTTAATTTTAGCCTTTATTTTGTATTTCCTCCACTGCATTATGTCCTTCTGTCCGATTGATTTGACCCATCGTCTCACGTTGGAGGGTTTGGGATTTTGATAAGTGCCTCTGATTGGAAAACAAGGAGGCCCTGCAGCTACGGGGGGGTCAACTGGAGAGTTCAATTTGCCACATTGATTGCGTTCATCGCTGCCAGGGTTAGTCTCTAACCCTATTTAATAAAGTGACAGTCAGTGGCCTTGGGTTTACTTGTCTGGACAGACTGGGACATTTGGTTTTATTACTATACACAATAGACAGATAAAAAATTATTATATTTATCTGTGCTGGTGGACTGTTTTCAATAAATACAAACCTGTATTTATCTTTTATGACTGTTGCAAAACAGATTTTATTATATGACATAATTTTACAAAGTGACTTCTATACTGAATATACAGTATAAAATCTTATGTGTATGTTTTCCTGAGAGGTGTTTCAGATGCTTTGTCCACCCCATTAATATCAGGGATGGACTGTTATTAGAATCAGTTTTCAGTATAAAGGCATACGCAATTTAAACACACCACAAATTACACCCTCCAAAATGACCATAAAGTTCAATCAACACATCAACTTAAGATTCTGATCTTTATTGCGGCGTTGTATTAGACTGTACTAATTTTAGCTAGATGTTCCTAATAAACTGCCTACTGAGTTTACAGTATATGCACTTTTCACAAGGCTCACCTAACAAATGAATCCTTCATCTGGTATTTATTCTGTAATATACACTTATCTGTGAATTGGGCAAAAGAAAATTCATGAATAGGTTCCTACATAGGTCACATTACAAATAGCGTAATGTAACAGATTACTAAGAGACTAGATTGGAAAACAAATCATCTTAAAAATGTCCTTTATTGAACTGAAACTGAAAGGTGATTATGCCTAAGTCTTAACAAAATTTCATGTAATAGGTTTGTGTGCGACTAATGAATTGTAGAGCAGGTACATGATTTTGTTAATGCCACAAATAGACTGTTCATTTTGTTGTAACTCTTGTAAAGCAAATATTTTCTGTATTTTAGTACAAAGCAATTAATCACATGCTTTTAAGTGTAGTTACTGTGGCAGTCTACTCTTGTGAATTGAGCATCAGCTTCAATGTGTTTAAGGTCAGGCTTGCGATGTGTGAATGTGAAGAATGGCTATTTGACACACTTTTCCCTCTGTATTGCACAGTGAATGTGGCATGTTCACCACATTAATTGGTTAAACAGGTATTAACAGGACACATTATTACGATTTTGACTGACTTCCATTGGCCTTAAAGTGTGTGGACTCAACTCAAGACTGGCCTTTCCTTTAGTTTTTGTGCACTTATCTTGTCTATATTTTGACTCTCACAGTTATTGTGAGGCTCTTTGTCATGTTTGTGCCAGTAAGGTGCTGTAACCATACATTTTATCACTGAAGCACATGCTTGCAAAAGGATCTTACATGATAAATCAGCTGGCCTTTAAAGGTTACTACCACAACCATGTCATAACTTCAACAAGGACCTAATGAAGCTTCTACTCTCACTTAACGCTTCATCAGATCGAGAAGGATCTAGTTGGAGATGCTTCGCCTGCTGGCTTAAAGAATGCCAAACCTTGAGAATGTGATGACATTTGTCATGTTGAAGTGACATTTTTAAAGCCGCCCCTGTGGCAATGAAGTGAGATGGGGAGCTATGTTGCCCAAAGTAACCTTTTCTTTCAAAGTTCTTTTTATACTGACATTTGAAGGGATCTGGAGATGATGGGGTGGGGTGGGTGTATTTGAATTTGGCACTTTCACAACAGCTAAGGCAAATGGTGAATTCTAAGCTGCTTGGAAACTGTGGGAAGAACTTTTCCTGTTTTCCTTAAATTAATCTTCTCTCCTTTAGTATTTCTACTTCATACAGTGGGAATTGAGACCATGGGTAGTGAAAAGTTTTGGATGGTCTGTGAGAAACGTCCTCAGCTTCTCTGCCTCCCAGAGCAGGGTTGATAAAAGTCAATCACTACAAGTCAATACCCTACAATACAGCACCACTGAAAGTCAAAAAGGAATCAATTTATAACAAGGAATGTACCAATTACAGGTTGCAAAAAAGTATTCCACAATTTAACAGCTCTTAACTGCAAAACCAATGTTTTAATTATATTAACACTCAAATGAATATGAGTCTTGAAATACTTTAAAAAGGTTGATTAAATGCAACAGTCCAAGGCAAAAAAGCATAAAACAAAGGCCTATCAATCTAATAATATGCAGGCAAATTAGTATAATAAATTAAAAGGGTTTAATGTCATTAAGGATTACAGCAAACCAACAATGCTGTAGAAAATGGGTGAGAAATATACATTTTTTTTGCATTTCAGGATTCCCTGCCATTAAAAAAAAAAAAAAAAATCAACATAGATTACTTTAGTAGAGTATGCAGCACTCTAAATATCATCCACTATTAATACCTCTCATTGTTAGTGTTTTGGAAGATTCATGTTTATCTGTTTTCCATGTTTTTTTTTTTTTTTTTTTCCTGTGGTTCAAGTCCTGACCAGGTTATGGAAATATTTGGCATTGGGTTTTCTTTCCTCCAGATTGCATTCCGCAGAGTCTTTGCAGCAAAGTAAACATATGCACCAACAACAAATAAGACAAGAAAAATGACAAAGGCACATAGGGCATTTCTCAAACGACAAATTTGTTCTTGGTGGTTGAACCGCTTTTGGTGGCTGTGTCTGCGTGGGATTGGTAGCCGATGGTCATCTTCATGGGAAGCCCCAAGCGCTCCTTGTAAACTCTCCTGTGGAGAATGGAAAATGACAGCGTAAGAAGATGAAGAGAATGTCATCACCTATAGTCCAAATACTGACACTGCAAATCTGACTCACCCTATGTGTGTTACAGCTTCCCGGTTCTCATAGTCTGATGTCCAGACGGCTATTTTGTCTCCTTTTGTGCGGATGTTGACCACGGCTCCGCAGACATCATCGCTGTAGTCGTCAAAGGCCTCTCCGACTAAGCACAGGAGCTGGTGGAGGGATGGAGAGGAATAAAAGCCATTGTCATAACCTGATGACTCGCATTTTGACTTTAAAAATAACTGCAAATCCTCCACGTTCTCATAAAAGAGGAAGGCCATGGACATTGTTAGGTCTGTCACCTCGATTACTGTGAATCAGCAAGAATTTTGAGATTCCTGCTCTCTGCTGCAGCAGTCTGTCATTCAGCTTTACTACAACATTTTCAGGGTAGGGTGCTATTTTTTACAATTCATGTTTGAACTTTTCCATGATCAGTGAGGTAGAAACACATAATTTCACAATGACATTATAACTTCGTCAAGTAACACGAACATTTAAATAAATATCAGTTTACACAACATTTGAAAACCATATATTTTGTTTTTGTAAATATCTATGTGTATAAATATAGAAGGATTAATGATCCAAAACCATGCGTTGTCTTTCTCAACAGAATGTTTCAGGATTCTGATGATGACTGAATGTCATTTTCACATAGATCACATATGATTTGAAGAAAAAAAAGTTCTGCATGAGATTTGGATGAATCGTCTTTGAGCTCAGCATCGTTAGCCTTGATCCAGGATCACGTACTATGCATCATGGTGATTGGATAACTGTCAGAACATGGACATTCCAGTCTCAGATCCGCTCACAAAATGTGTTACGTGATGAATGTTGCGAACACAAACTCACTGAAAGATAGAAGGTCTTCTTAACAAACCATAAACTGGGGGAAAAAAAACATCAGGAGTGGCAGGAACTGGAATCCTTTCTTGCTCACCTGCTGCGGTGCTGCTCAGCAGTGGAGTGCTCATGCTGGTGTTCTCGCAATGGGGACGCAGAAATGGAGGAAAAGGAAAAAACACCCCATGTTCCGATTTGGGAGCGATCACTCATATTTCCAAGGCGGTTACCTTAGTACTAACCTTGTAGTCCCACCAATTAAATAGCCTACATCACCTGCTTTTGTTGCGTTGTATACTTGGAGAAGTTTGTTACCAAGTGAAACCAGATATAAACAGTGTATAAATATAAATATATATTGGATTATATTTTGATGTAACTGCAAGTGGTGTTGCATATTCAGCCATTCTGCCAAGAATTTGTTTACATGTCTCTAGTTCTTTTCACTGAGAGGGAGATATCGTCAGTGTCAGAAATTCCCAATATCTCCAATTTACTCTAATTTATAAATGAGATTACCATTTATATTACTGGTATTGCTGCAGAATATCTTACGGCCACTAGTGACAGCACTGTGAACCATGCAGCACTTCAGCTTCCTCACATTGTTTTTTTCCCCCAGCTTGTAGGTGGCTGGGAAGACTTCCTATCATCCGACCGGTTCATATTTTCAATATTCTTCCTGTAACACATTTTATGAGATGTCAGTATCAGAGATCAAGAAGAGTTTATTTAAAACTGTCTCATTAAAACTGTTTTACTTTCAGCTTCACATATGGTAAAACAATTAGTGTGGATGGCATTGGAAAAACAAAGTGATCCCTTTCAGCCCTCCAGGCCAGTAGCAACAGTATTGACAGTACAGTAAGTGCTGTTTGCTCACTGGCAAGTCACAGCATGCTGGATGTCTGTATCACTGTCAGTGACCTTTAGCGTGGCAAGAGAGCTCACCACAACCCTGTGTGGACTGCAGATTTACCAGCAAGTAAGCCAATTTTCAGTTGCTCCCATTTGACTTTGTTGTGACCCCATCGCCAGCTCAGCAACGAGTCAAAGCTACAGTATATTTTCTTAGACATCAGAGTGGATTTTGTGTTGAAAAAGATGATGAGAACAATAAAACAATCTCATCTCAATTGAATTTTAAAAGGTATGAAAGGATGTAATAACCTATATCAGCAGTGTGACAAATGTGATGATAGAGTGGTACAACTAATTACAGCTGCCAGCAGGTAATGAATGTACTACTTTCAGAGGAGGCTCAAGAAATGATTAATAGAATCACTTGTTTGAGTAACAACACATGAACATGATACGATGCGCAGCAGAAACAGCCAAACCTACCGTCTCCAGCCAGAAGCGGTCCAGGTCTAATCTCCTCTGCTGCTTGGTGAGTGTGATCAGCCAGCGGCCGCCACGCTTGTTCCTCTCATCCTCCCACATGGGTTCAATGCCATCCTGCAGCCATGGTTCAAACTGTCAATACACATCCCAAACCACTGCACCAAAACATTAAATGTGGGGTTTCCACAGGATTTTAAACATTCGCTGCAAGAAAAATATCTTTTCCAACTTTGAAACAATTCGTTAAATCCCATAAGATGTCTAGACTAAAAAAGGAAGCAAGAACTCAGCAGTTGTCCAGTGATAGTTAAATATTTGTTAAACATCTTTTTCTCAAGTTGCATTTCTACCCCTCTAAACAAACTCTGCCTCAACACCCTGAATCACATTGCAGTGTTTGGTGAAAAGCAACATTTTCTTCGATTCAAATTGTAAAATTTGCAAAACTTAGACTGTACAGGTGATGTTAAACTAACTCCCCTGCTGTGAATACAAATTCACTAGTTAATCTTCCCCACAGGTGATCCTGCTAATGATTTCCATAAAAGCACAACGATCAAAGAGTGCAGTTATATTGGATTACTGCCGTTTCCATTTATTATTATCAGCTAGCCCAAACACAGTGTAATTAGTGGCTGCTAGCCGCCTCATGCTTTTCAAAACTCTTCCACCCCCGCTTCTCATTTTCTATTAGCACATTTGGTTAAATTAGCTCTTTTAAGCTGATGAGCTCTGAGCCGGTAGAGACAGATTTAGTCCGAAAAATAAATAAATAAAAACCCTGCCCACTTCTGTCTTTGTTTGCCTTCCCTCCAGTAATGATGCTGTTGTTTTGGCTGGAATTCTTTGTGTCAACATCTCAATTAAGTATTGTTCTCTTTATTTGAATCTGCTGCTGATAAAAAATCTTGCGATTTGGCTTTATTGGTGAGCTGGTGATAAAATGATTATATTACATTTTCAATTCAGTACCAATTGTTCTCACGAGGATCACTCTGAAACAGAATGGCGGGACCACAACCTTTTTAAATAACCGCAAAAAAACAGCTTGTTTTCCTCTCTAATGTCTCAATAAATAATAAATTAATGAATAATGTAAGGGCTTGATATTTACTGCCATATCTCATGTAAATGTGATTTTCCACTTTAAAAGAAAGGCATTAACATGGTTCTTTTAGTTTCATTGAGTCAATATCAGAAAGGGAGCGAAAGACTGTTGTCCTTGTACATATTGATGAACATACAATGCAGTAGTTGTGGTGTTGAAAATATGAAATACTTTTCTCAGCAGCAAAGAGGATATCGACATGCAAAAAGACTAAAAAAATATTTAAAGTACTCTTTCATGTAAAAAGTGTAGTTGTTTCACACCAGTGAACACAAACTCACCTTAAAAAGAGAGTAGTCACAGCCTGACATGAGGTTGCTTGACAACTGGATATGATTGTATAGACTACAAACGACAAGAGCACAGCGTTAACAAAACATGCTCATTCATCGCTTGTGACAGTAATTCAAAAAACACAGTCATGACATTTTATTGCTTCAGCCTCTCCATGGGAAGTACAGAAAAAAAAAAAAAAAGACTCAGAGATTTACTGCTCCTTACGCCCAGAAATCTTCAACTGTGTCAAATTTAGAGATGAGTCGCAGGTTGGCCTGCCATGTTTTGCTCTTGTCATTCTTGAAGAACCACAGAGACCATCTGTCGGGTGAAAACAGGAAAAAAAAAATAAGGAATTTGCATAAATGTAACAAGCCCCTAATTAAACACGAGGTAAACAAAAGTAACCAAAAGCCATTGAGCTTGGGAGCAAATGGGCGATGTATGGATGCACCTGGATGCTGCTCGGTAAATCACACTGTCGCTCTCGTCGGTCCAATTAATTGTGGCCATGAGTCATACTTGTTCAATGCTGAATCCTCTTATGGCTCAGCAACTGCCTTAAGCTCTTTAGGTTGAAGAAGAATAAAGAAAACTGTGGCTGTTGACACCATTATAAAGCCGTTAGAGATACTAGTTTGTCAGCGGGTACAGATAGTGTTTTTAAGTGAGAGCAGCCCCAATAAAGGCCAGAATATAACATAATGAGTCAAGTGACACAAACTACATTCCCTTCAGCTGAACTGTATAAGCACACCAGACTGTTTGATGAGCAAATCTGACAAGCAAACAGGCTTCAGCTTATAACACATTCATGTTTGCCTTGTTAACTTCTGTAGTAAAATATTTGACTGATTGATTAAAGGCCATAATCTGAGGCTGCTTTTATTGTAGAGTCCCTTTGAAGGAGCTCGACATTGTGTTTCTTTAACTTTAAACACATGATGGGATAGACTCAAGCACACTATGACTCTATAGAGAAATATGTGGATCAATAAAATCAATGACTGCTGGGCTGTGGGCTTATGTTGTTTCTGTTGTACTTTGTATACCAGCGTGTCTTAGCCAGTAGAGAAAAATAAAGCCATTCCTGTCACTTTGCAGCATTTTGATCATCAATATTTTGGGATATTTGGACATCAAATTTGAACCAACAGTCAGAGCCAACTGTCAGTACATTTCAAACCTAAGACCTGAGCTGTGAGTCACCAGTGTTTAGGGTCCAACTTTTCTTTTAGCTGACTGGCTTTCTGTTGAGTTTGGTTCTTTTTTATTTGACCCTTTTGGACATAAATATCCTTGAGGAATTTAAAAATATATAAAATATTCATTCATTGCTTATTTGTATTCAGCACCAACGAGTGTTGGAACCTATCTTGAGTATGGATTCAGAGAAAAACACTGAAACACCTTGGACAGGTCACCGGACCATCACAGAATATCACAGTCTCACTGTGGGGAAATAAAAAGTCTCAAATCCAGGTTTGTTTGGAATGTGAGAGGAAATCCACTTTAACACATGAAGAATACTAAAACACACAGACAGGATCAGTGCCACAGGTAACAACTGAACCACATAAATTGTATATTTATTTTACATCTAATATCAGAAAATTTGTTTTTAGGTCAAGTCTCCCTCCCTTGGGTTGAGAAATAAACAAAATATAATCACATAATCACATTTTTTTCCATATGAATCCACTTAGAAATAGATTTAGCTACGTTATTAGTCATCTATCGGAAAGACAAACATCTTCGAGTATTTTGTATTTTTATTTGGCTTTTTAAATATGCAGTTTTCATCATGTACTGTTCACAAATTTTGGAACTGCTCTGCATCCTCTCAGTGAACAAAGCATTCATTGTTTTAGATGAATGGTCAATTTACGTCTCGCTTTCACCTCTAAAGGAGCCAGCCATTAATTTGTGTGTGTGTGTGTGTGGGTGGGGCATTCAGTTGTTGAACTATTCCCAGATATCAAACAGTGTGGTCACACATAAATCACCAATCTTTTCTTTGAAGCTGCTGATGCATAGGGCTTTCCATTTTCACCTAAAATTCAAATGAGCAAATAATATGAAACTAATATTTTCATTTCCAGTTAATCTGTCAATTATTTTTTTTGATTACTCAATTATAAAAAAGTTTTTAAAAACTGTTAATCAGCTAAATAATCAATTATTTGATCAAAACTATCTATTTTCTCATCCTTAAACTACACCTCTATGTTGGAAAAGAAATGATTACTGATACAGTAGGTGTAACACACACTGAAATTAGTTGATGCCATGTCATTAGACATTATGGCTTTGAAAACATTTCTTTAAATTTTTAAATTCAAATGTTGGATCAAATATGTTTTAATTTTTGCCTTCATTGATCTGGCTGTTTCAAATAAATCTAAAATGGAAGACCCTGACCTGTTCTGGAGGGGGTGTTTGATGTAGGCCTCTGGGCTCACAATCTCCTGTCCAGTCTCCTCAGCTCCATCTTCATCAGGCTGAGGTGGACATGGGTTGGTTTCCTGAAAAGCAATTAGGTATAAATAAGGGAAGACGGATTGGCGTAGGGGCTTTCTATTCTTTCTATTAAAAATTCAAATTATCATACTCTCAGATTCAGATATCACTGTGCATGACAGCTAATCTCTTTACTAATACCTTTCCAATCGATTACGTAAGTAGACCCTTCGGCCATGCCAACTACATGGTGAGATAATTAAATACAATTCAAAATTTACAAAGTGCCCTGCTGTCAAAACAATAATGTTGTTTTTAATCTAAAAAGAGATATGTTATCTCCTAAATAAACTTTAATTATCGTAAAAATAAATTCCGTGACGGAGGCGTTCACTTATGAAACCCGTTATGAACATCTGGTACACATTTCACTGATGTGAAGCTAGAGTTTGGCTAGCGCCCAATAACTCTACTGTTAACATTACCCACTAGTTGAAGCATGTAGCTTCGAGAACTTCATCGTTAGCCATGGCTGTGCCATTCCCAAGATGCTTGTTGATGAACGAAAAGAAACAACAATTTCCATTCACATTTCTGCCAGTTAAATTATTCCGTGCATGGTACAAAGTTAAATGCCCGCTATAACACGAGTTTAAGACTTTAAACCACAAATTTTGAGCCAGTCTTAAAATTCGGCATGAATGTCATGTACCAAATGCTGTTTATTGGGGGAAAACAATATAAAAAATTGCATATCCAGCTGTATCACCATGTAAATTAACGTTAACTAGCTACTAAATAGCAACTAAAATAGCTAATGTTGCATCGTAGAGGTCAGCAGGAAGCATTGTCGACCAATTTTGACAGTTGAAGTTTCAGCTACAAAAACCCAGTCCTGTTAGTATGTGATGTGTCATTCCTCATGCCGAATTTACCAATAGTTTATAATAAATAGAAGTGTTTCGAAAAAATGCTTTTCTGATCTGTAGTTTAACAGATAACATAAGCGGTAACAAAGTGACTCGTTTTGTAATGGAAGTTGTGTGGTTCTCTTCGCAAAAGTTAACGGCACGTCGGTTAGCTGTAACGTCAGCCTTAAAGTTGGGAGATCTCTACACACAAGCATTCCTCTTTTACGCTTAGGTCGTGGCACCGAAAACAAACTTGAAACTGGTTAAAACAGCCCGTGTGGCAATAACAGCGGTCGATTTCCATTTTAGGAGTAATATGTAACGTTGTACATGAACTTTAAATATGGTCTCGCGACGTAATTAAAGCAAGAAGCCCCCCAAATGATTTGATATGTTCGTTAGAGAAAGTGCTCACCGGTTCGGCGGTCGCCATCTTACAAATCTCTGTTAGGAAAGTTTCTGTTGATTGGATCGAGCTGTGCAACGTGACGGCAGCGCTGCGGACATGCGCTGTGTGCCGCCGTTGGCTGGCTGCTTCTCGGCGACTCCACCCCTCTCCTGCAGACGAAGGCATGGCGAGCACCGAGACTAGAAGGGAGTGTGAGACAGAGGGCTGCAGTAAGGACGCCAAACTTCAGTGTCCCACATGTATCAAGCTTGGTATTCAAGGCTCCTATTTCTGTTCACAGGTACTACTTTTTGCTTGGCTTGCCCGGTTTAAATGTCAGCTGTAGCCGCACACCTAGGCCCCCTCTCTTATCACGAGGCTGCTAATGCTAACTGTCAAGCTAGGTAGACATGTGTAGGTGCCTCTAAAACCGCTAATAACGTATTAGCTGAACTTTAACGAATGCCTTCTGGTTGTGTAGTGCCATACAGATTACTGAGGATGAATAATTCAGTCAGTGATTGTAACCAATGCTGTCTCTGTAACGGGCCCGAGGGAAGACTTTTAGCTAGCTAGTTGCAGGTTAGCGCAACTGAATGATACGAAGTGTCTGACTAAAATAAAATCCCTACATGGTGTAGTTGTTTTGATGACAGCCTAAAACTGTGTATGAAATATTTATGTCGTGTTGGAACCAGGTTGTTCTGTAATGCGATAGACTGCAAGTAGTGATACTTGAGTTGTAAAGTAGTGCAGAGTTACTGTTGCGTGACAGATCACTTTGTGCCACAATGGTTGACCCTCTTCGTGGTACTTCAGGAGAGCAAACCCCCCACTCACAAATCTATCAGGTTAAAGATGAGCAGCTTAGTGACCAGACCTCATACTGGGCTGAGTATTGCCTATTATTGGAAGCTACTCTCCACTTAGCATGCAGTTAATCGGCTGTTTGAACAGAACTGACAGACCTATTGTCACAATAGTTGCCTTTCACTAAAACAGTAAAGAAGTTTGTGACAAGTAATGTAAGTAAACGTAGACAGTTGATATTATATTGCCAAGGTTTGTGAATGGTGCTTTCTGGTTCTTTTTTCATGTAGCACTACTATTACTGCATTAGAAATGCCAAGAAAGACATGAAACTACAGGCAGTACACTCTGTTTTGAGTAGATCTAATGCCATTTTCTCTTGAGTCAGAAGCTTTTTGAAAAGTTAGGTTGGGAGTAGTTTAAATGCTCTTGTGGTTCCATGGTATTTGACCCTAGAGTTCTTTGCTGTGATAGCAGTTTTGGCTGTGCAACCTGACCCTGCTCTCTGTAGTCCCTGTCTCTCTCTGCTAACTGTCCAATTAAGGCATACAAACCATTAAAATTAACAATAAATGGCAGAGATGGCTGTGACGAGGACACATGCAGAGATATATTTGGAAAAGTCTCTTCCTTTGCTGCAATATCTGTGACAGTGTACATCTGAGTAACACTGTTTAGTTAGGCTTGAACTAGGGCTGTAACGATTCTCAAACCGATATTGAAATCACGATACAGATACTGGATCCATGATATTGGAAGATGGTATTGTGTCGTGTGAGTACTTTGGTCGAGTGAACACGTCTGCTCTGGACAAGTCAGCAGTGTGCCCCACCCCAGCCAAAAATTAAAAAAAAAAAAAAGAAGAAAAAAATCTGAACCAAACTGTTGATTTGGAAAATTGTTACAGCCCTAGTTTGAATAGGTTGTGCATCAAGATAAACTTGGTGTCCATACATGTGATTTTCATGTGATATCATTTGCACTGTATCAATAATGTCTAGGTATATCTGTCCGTCATTGTACTTCATCTCATTTAGAAGTTTTCGTTGTGTCTTCATTTCCAGGAATGTTTCAAAGGGAGCTGGGTGTCGCACAAGTTGCTGCACAAAAAAGCAAGTAGGTATCACTGTCAGTAATGCACTTTGTTGACACCAAGCTCTGTGTTGGACTCAGTCACATTATATAAATATGTTGCATGTTATTTAGGTTAATAGTGCGCATGGACAAGTACCTGTACATGGTGTTTATATAGAACCTGTTACGAGAGTTGAGAGTAGATGGCATTCCTTGACTATGAACTGACATAGTGTTGTCAGATGCTTTAGAGACCTTGTGTTATGTTTGTCAGAGGAGGACAAGAACCAGATTGAAACTAAGAACTGTGTGGAGAAGGACATCAACACAGACCCATGGCCAGGCTACCGCTACACAGGAAAACTACGCCCTCACTACCCACTGGTAAGTTTGTCTTTGTCTCCAGTTGGTTGTACTCAAAGGTGCTAAACTGCTTTGCATATTCCTGTCACCAGAAGGAAGGAACCTCTCCCTTGTGACACAGTGCTGCACTTTGTGAGTTGTCGGTTTACTCAGACAGGTTTCATGCTTTAGACAGCCCATGAACTCATGATAAACAGTGAATGCTACACACTACACCAATTATTTTAAACTGTTGAAAAATCCAAAACAGGGTCATATGTTGATACCTGTTGGTGCATGTATGTTTTGAATGTGTCAAAACAATTAAGTGCCTCCTTAAAAGAATGCAGGACAGCACTCAGGAAAAACAGACAGACAGAGTAATAGGACATATTAAACTAAAAGTCTTTTCTTTAAGTAGTTTGTCATGTCAAGTGTTCATCTATGTGAATTCAATGATGTAACATGTCTGTTGTCTTCTGGTCACTGGTTGTAGACTCCCATGAGGCTCGTACCAAGTGACATCCAAAGACCTGACTATGCTGATCATCCCAGAGGTAACCACGCTTGTTTCTCACAAGATATTTTTAGTTGATTCATTGTCCACTTGGTAAGCTTGGTGTAAGCTTTTAAACTCATGATTTGTTGAGATTTTACATTGTGTATATTGCATTTTTCCCCCAGTAATACTATTTATTGGAACACCAACAACACCGGTTCTTGGGGGCTTAGCAATAACAGCTTGGGTGTCTCTAGAGACACTTGGTCTTGTTTGACAATTCATATTACATGCAAAAATGAGAGATAATCATATAAGAAGTATTTACAATTGCTTAGTAGATTCCACTGGCAAAGTTGCCATTTCATTTCAGGGTTTTTCCTTGCTGAAAATTAGGCAGGGGTGGTACTAAGCCATACGCCAGGGCTTCTCATATTAGAAGAACTGTTTCACCTGTCCTTGTGATTCTCCTCTTCGTGAGCTCTGTTTTTAACATAATCTGTGATTTGAGACATTTCTGCAAAATAACACATACACGATGGGATGTAACGTTCATTTAGGGAAACTTTTCAAGAAGCTGGGTGTGCTTGGATGTAAAAGAGATATTATTCATCTGTAGGGTTGTCACCTTTTATGTGAAAAAAGGTGGCAACTGGTTTGGTTTTACTTGACATTACATTATTCACAGCACTTTGAGGACATAACATGAAAGAAAATACGGGACAAATTGCATCCTGTATTGATTCAAATCCACTGAGTACGGAGAAAACAAGTACTAGAATCATTTTATTTTCAAATACCGGACGATCCCGTATTATACGGGACGGGTGGCAACCCCATTCACTTGTTTGGAGAGCTGCAAAATCAGGTCGCCGCCTCTTTCTCAGGCAGAAAATCCAGCGTGTTCAAATTCTTCTTCTTTAGCAATTTCGGATGGCTCTGCCTGATGCACAGATTACGATACAGCGCCACTACATTGCTGTAGAGGTGTACAGTTGCAGTTACAAACGTCAAATCCACCTAGTACCAATAAAACAAGTACTAGTATTTTGTCGGGAGGCAGAGGTGGCACGAAATTTGATGGAGGCAGCCACCTCTCAATTCTCTATGCCGGAAAAACCCTGGATTTGTACCTCAACACTGCAGGACCTAAGGATGGTCTTGTTGGTCAGTTTGTCCATTGGTGACCCACTGCTTTTAACCTTTTGAACAAAGTGTCAGTTTACAGAACCAAAATCGTCAGTGTTCCAGTGGGATGTAATGAGCAGGGGTTGTTGGTGGGGCTTTGAATTGTCAGCCATGTGCTGTGTAGTAATGACGGACAAGAACAAAAATGATTGCCAGCACAGTACCCCCACAATTCAAAGAGCTGAAAACTGAGAGACATGACACTCAAAATCACTTGAGCAGGATGTGCCCTCAGAGCACTTTGCCTTTATAAATTATACCACATTCAAATGACTTATTACATGTGCAATCCTCAGTGAGTACCAATCAAAATGGCTTGCCTACTGGTGTATTGAAGAGTTCACAATTACACCTCTGAGACCCATTGAGTGCTAGATCACTACAACACATGTTAGCCACTGATTGCATAGATTTGATAACATGCAAGTGCACATTCAAAGCTTCAACTCACTGAAGTCCTGTCTTAGTGTGTCTAGACAATGTGGTCATCCATGCATGTGCTTTATATAGTTTTTTGCATGAATACACAGATGAGTTGATACGTCTTGTGTTGTTAGCAAAGATCTTTACACCAACAGAATAGTTTGGGTAACTCACAGCCCTGTCGGCAACGCTGAAGACAGAGATCTGAGTGAAGAACAAGACCAGTGTTTGTACAAGTTTTGTTCCAATTGAACGTGAAAACTGCTCATTACTAAGTTCTTAAATGATGCTCCGTCACTATTTTTTAAACAAATTTATTCCATAGTAAAACCTTTTTTTAATAGTTTTCTTCTAAAAAGTAAACAAACGTTTAACAATTTGGTGTCGTCATTCTCAACCAGCAATCTGAAGATGAGCGTTTGAATCATTATTACTGATTGAGAGTGAGCTGTCTGTTCTCAGTGGGAATGGTAGTACTAGTATAATTTCACTGGAATTAATTTGATTCAATATTACAGTCAGAAATATTTCTTAGGATTCATTGCTGAGTAATTGCATGTATACAGTACATACATTTTAAATGCATGCAATTAGTTCTTTTGGTAATTTAACACTTCAGAATCATTCAGTTTTATACAGGGAACCTCCTGTTGATTCTTTCATCGTCAAACTGAAATCAATGTCCCTCTGGTAAACAGCTCATTAATATCCCGCTATGATCTCTTTCGACCACTGGCTTTGTCACCACAAACTGCAGTAGATTGG